GGGGTCCCGGGTTCGATTCCTGTCAAGGGCATGTACTTTGGTTGCGGGCATATCCCCAGTAGGGAGTGTGCAAGAGGCAGCTGATCGATGACTCTCTCTCATCGATGTTTCTTACTCTCTTTCCCTTCTTCTCTGTACAAAATCAATAAAAATGTATTTTAAAAAGTTAAAAAAAAAAAAAAAAAGAATATTGTTTGGTGCCCTGGCCGGGTAGCTCAGTTGGTTAGGACATCGTCCCCATACACCAAGGTTGCGGGTTCCATCCCCGGTCAGGGTACATACAATAATCTATCAATGAATGCATAAAGAAATGGAACAACAAACTAATTTCTCTCTCTCTCTCTCTCTCTCTCTCTCTCTCTCTCTCTCTCTCTCTCTCTCAATTTTTTTACAAAACTAATATTATTTGTAGGCAGCAACCTTAACTACCTACATATATCTTTAACATTGTCTCTCTCTCAAGCAAACCTCCTAAAGTATGATAGTTTTGTACAAGTTTCTTCAGTTATGAAGACAGCAGTTCTTAGGCTTTTAGAATCCTAAAGAGAAGAAAATGAAGGATTGGATCAACAAAAAATAGAATAAACCTAGGACAAAATGCAAAAGTTCTTTTTAAGATATTTTAAGTGAGCATGGAATAATTTTTTATTGCACTAGTAAGTCATTTCTTTTCCTGTAAGTCTCCCTTCCACTTGAAAAGTAAACTAATGTATGGCTACTAGGTAAAGGTCTTATTTAGGAAGATTTTGGAATGGTTAGATTGAAGAACCTGGGAAGAAAATCCTAATACCAGAAAGAAGGTAAAATAATAATAATAATAATAATAATAATAATAATAATAGACAACTTTGGGCAACAGTGACTGCCAGGATATTATTCTATTTTATGATTAAGGAAATGACTGGTCCGAATTCTAATATAGCCAAGTTACTCTTACTGATACCTAAGCAGGTTGGACAAGTTAGTTGAAGTTACTAAGTAGTTTGGACATGCTAGCTGCAGGGATGCTACCCTAAACTGACAGGCATCCCATTTCTCCAAACCTACAAGTGTGGGACGTCTCTCCCCCAGAGTGAGAGAGGCGGGCCCAAAGCAAACAAAGCCCTCGGCGGGAAAAGACAGCATTTCCACGCGGACCTCCCCTTTCCTCCCCTCGCCCATCCTCGCTTTGCAGAACTGCTCCTCCTGCCCTCCACCCGGGTCTGCTCTCCGGCTGCGGCCAGACTTTCTGCTCCCACAGGTCTGCCGCCCCCCCCCCACCCCGCTCGCTAACCCGGTGCCAGGGGCTCTCCCAGGCCTCGGGCCCAGCGGTGGGAACGGGAGGCCGAGCTTGGGACCCCGGGGCAGCCGCGCTCCGGGCAGCACGTCGGGCACGGAGCCAGGCTCCCAGCCCCTGTCATCTCGGGCTGGGCTCCTCAGTCCCTTCCTCGCTGCCACACTCTCCTGGCCCCCTCCCACCCGCGCTGCCAGCCAACCTGGGCTCCGCCTTTCGGGATGACCGTCACGCCCCGGCGCGGGGTCCGAGCGGCCGGCCTTCCGCTCCGCCGGGCTCACCCCTGCCACCTGCCTCTCCGCCGCCCTCGCCAGCGCCTGCCCCTCTGGACGCCCGCCATCCCCGGCAGCCGCACTGGCCAGAATTCCCGCTGCCCATTGGCTGTCACCTAGGCAACCGGGAGCAACGCCGCTTCCTATTGGCTCAGTCCGGGCTCGGCGCCATCTTTGTGCGGGGCGAAGTGTCAACTATCCGAAAGAGGAACGGGGCTGACCCCGGGTTCCACCGCGGCAACCCCGACTGAAAGAGAACTCAGATCTCGCTCCTGCCTGGCAGCCTAGCCGAAATGTCAACACCAAACCAAACCGGACCGAACCGAACCGAACCAAACCAATCTCCGCAGTTGTAAACAGCCCCGCCGAGGAGTTTCCGGACAGAACCTCCATGCGGCTTTGGAGGTGCAGCTTTGTAAACTGAAAGGTGCTGGAGAGGGCGAACTGTCGTTTAATTCGTGCAACCCTGCGCCAGGCACCGATATCAAGACACGTTGGCATTCCTTGTAGGGATGTGTGTTGTCGTTGTCATTACCCGGGTCCCTTTGTATTTAAAAATATGCCAAGATGGAAGCAAATCAGCCCACACACCACGCACATCAACCGGTGTGTCTGTGTTTATTTACTTGGAATGCCACATGCTGCCAGGGCTCCTCTGACAGCCTGGAAAAGACACGATCACTGATCGCTCTCAGGGGACTTACTGCGAAGTGTGGAGAAGAAAAGATTCGTGTACGTGGAAGAACCCAAGACTATAATTATTAAGAGAAGGCAAACTCATGAAGAGAGTAAACAGATTGCCTCTCTGAGTTGGGATTTTTCCTCATCTGCAGGTCAGAAAATTATAATGATAAAGGCTGCCTAGGGCCTTTTTTGAGAATACAATGTCAAAAGCTCAGTACTGTGTCTGAGGCATTGTAAATGTCCCATAAATGGTAAGTTTAAATTATTTTTAAATCAAGGTGACCAGACATCCCACTTTTGGAGGGACAGTCCCGATTTTTAACAATTTGTCCCGCGTCAGGCGTCGTTTTAAAACAGAAAGGGAAACATGTCTTGTAACTGAAAGGTATAGTTGAACCATATGTATGGGGGTTTATTTGGCAAAATAAAAGTTTAAGACAATTCAGTAATTCTGGTTAGCTGTGGCAACAATTTGATTCAAGAAATGATTGTTGAATGAACTTAAAGGAGTCTGCAAGCTTTGGCTAGAAATAAATTACTCAAGGGTCTTAGGGTTTGCAAACCAGAAACAACCAGTCAAAAACCCAGAAGTGTTCGAAAGAAGCAAGAAAAGCTAAGAGTTCTTATAGTGAAAAGTGCATTTTTCAGAATCGATTCTGCATTCTTAGCCCTCGGATTGGTCCAAGGTAGTTATCAGTCAGATGTTAGGAGATCTGGATGATGGATGCCTGGCAGTCTAGAAGATAGGCATCAGGAGGTCTGGCCACATCTGTGGTCTGGATAATAGATGTCAGGTCTATGCTAGTAGTACAGATATGTGAGTACTTCAAGCATTATATGGATGTCTGGTGTATCTCCAGGTACTGACACACAATGAATTGGAGTATATCCAGGCATTGATGCAGGGCTGAAAAGTTAAAAAATTTGTTTCCAGTTTAGTTAAAACAAGAAGAGAATTGTCTCCTCATGCCTCAACTGACTTGATTCTAGTAATTTAGCAGTTTAACTATAGCGACTCCATTTTATTCCTCCACTCTTCTTCAGAATGATAACAAAAGTGATAACAACATCAATAATAACTTCAACAAATGGTAGGTAAAAACCTACCGTTTGTTTACAGCTTTTTATATACTAACTAGAGGCCCAGTGCATGAATTCGTGCATGGGTGAGGTCTCTCAGCCTGGTCAGGGATTGGGCCGCTTTGGGCCTCGGGAGGTTGGCTGGCTAGTCAGGTTAGGGGAGGGGCTGCAGGAGGTTGGCTGTGGGAGCTCATTGACCACCAGGGGCAACTCCTTTGTTGAGTGTCTGCCCCCTCGTGGTCAGTGTGCATCATAGTGACTGGTTGGCCAGTTGTTTGGTCATTCAGGCTTTTATATATTAATATATATACAGATAAGCACTATGCTAAGTTCTTTACATACTTATCATGATTCTTATTTTATCAATTGAGAGAGATGATTCCTCTCATTTTATAGATGATGAAACTGAGGCTTAGAGAGTTAAATAACTCGTACAAAATAACTAATAAATGTGAAGTCAGGGTTCAAACTCCAAACTCTCTCCCCCTTGCCAAGTGATTTGATTATATTCTTCCTATAAGACTTAGTTTATAGAACATGCCCCACTTAAGGCTTTTACTGATTCTCCAGTGTACCCCCAAGCCACTAAACTTCTTTTATGGAGTTTTCAGCTCTGATTGTTGGCTCTTTTTCTCCTACTGCATCAGAGAGTTGGATATCTTCAGCTTGAGGATAAGAACTGTAACATTCTTCTCTTTACACAATGCCTCACTTAAAAATGTACTGAGCACATACTGTGTCTAGATACTGAGGTTTTACTGTGATAAATAAAACACTCTTACTTTGATTTTATTTTCTTAGTTTAATGAGACCATATCTTTTCTCCATTAACAAATAAACATTGAGCTTTGTGGCAGGTACTGTGTAAACTGCGTGAGGACTGAGATTTTCAAAAAACCTTTCTATTTAGGTGGAGAAGGGATTTTTGTTTCTTTGCTTAACTGCTGTCTCTACAGCACCTAGAACATAGTAGGTCCTCAATAAATATTTAATGACCAAGTGCATGATTGAATGACTGCAAATACAAAGATTAGATTTTTCTTTTCTTCTGGTTAATTCTCACCTGAGGATATTTTTCCATTGATTTTTAGAGAGTGGAAGGGAAGAGGAGAGTCAGATAGATAGAAACATGGATGTTAGAGAGACACATTGATTGGTTGCCTCCTGCCTGCAGCAGATAGGGATTGAGCCTGCAACCAAGGTACATGCCCTTGACAGGAATCAAACACTGGACCCTTTAAGTCTTTGGGCGATGCACTATCCTCTGACCCAAAGCGGCTAGGGCAAAAAATTAGATTTTTCCAGGTTCACAGTAGGCTCTCAATAATTAATGACTGATTAGGTAGGTTACTTTATTGAAAACTCCCAAAGATGGGTCAGCAATTGAAAGCTAAGTGCTGAGGGCGTGTCTGGCACGAGTTTGGGGCTCCTGGCGCATGCGCAGTCACAGAAGGAGTGATGAGCAAAATCTGCGGAGCGCGATTGCGTACTCGCTGATCCTGATTGGCCAATGCTCGCGCGCGAGGGGGTTGTGCCTACTCGTCACCAAGTAAACAGGGAAGGTGGGGGCGGGGCCAGAGAGGCGCCGCCACCTGGTTGGCCGGGCGGATGCTGGGGGCGTTGGGGATTGGTCCCGGCCCAGAGTTCAGCTGTGCGCTGCGCGCCGGGTCCCCGAGCCGGCGGCCTGAGGGATGGACGAGACGAGCCCACTAGTGTCCCCCGAGCGGGCCCAACCCCCGGACTACACCTTCCCGTCCGGCCCGGGCGCTCACTTTCCGCAGGTCCCAGGGGGCGCGATCCGAGTGGCGTCGGCGGCGGCGACCGGCCCTGTCCCTTCTCCGCCGGGCTCGCCAGGCCACGACCGGGAGCGGCAGCCACTGCTGGATCGGGCCCGGGGTGCCGCGGCCCAGGTTCAGATCCAGACGGTGGCGGCTCACGCCCAGGCCCTGGCCGTGGCCGCTGTTCACGCCGCGCAGGCCCACCGGGAGCGGAACGAGTTCCCGGAGGACCCGGAGTTCGAGGCGGTGGTGCGGAACGCCGAAGTGGCCATCGAGCGCGGCATCTTCCCCGAGCGCATCTACCAAGGCTCCAGCGGAAGCTACTTCGTCAAGGACCCTCAGGGGGTGAGAGCTGGGCGGCGTGGACAGCGGGCCTGCCAGGGGAGTTTGGGGCTCCGCACAGCCGGGGGGTGAGGGGGGAGAGGAGAAGGGGTGCAGAAAGAAAAGTCGCAGAAGGGAGAAACTTTCCAGAGAGAGCCCCCTCGGCAGGGTTTTGGAATGCCCACGGGGATGGAGAAGCTCCGCGGAATGGAGAAATAAATCAGAACCTGTTCGGTGGGGGAGGAGTGAGCGGAAAGTGAAAAAGAGGAAATTGACCAGATACAGGCGGAGGGCCCAGCTGTGTGGTGGGGCAGTCTGCTTCTGGACAGAGAGGCGCGGGGAGGTGCTGCTTTCTAGCAGGTTCGGTCAAGTGCAGCGACTGCTATTCGGGCATTAACCTACAGACTTACCGATTTGGGATATGGGCCCGTTTTTTCTCTCTCTTTTGGGACCAAACCAGTGTTATTGGAAGCCCCCGTCAGGTAGGGACTCTTCAGGGTTCATTCCAGCCTCTGTGCTGTGAGGATGTTTTCCTGCCGCCTTCCCGGGTCTCTCATTGGCTGACGATGGTGAGAGAGTGGGTGGAATCACCAGTTTTCATCTGTCTGGTTATTGCTCACTTTTTGGGGGGAAATTGTTCAAACATTTTTATGGTTCCTCAAGCTTAGAATGGAGTCCTAGGATCACGGGACTGTCAGCTGCCTTCTTACTTTCATTTCTCTCGCAGGGCTGTCATAGTTGGCTTTTTCAGCTAAGGCCAAGTGTTGGCTGACCTTTATTTTGTCCCTTGCATTTGTATAAAGGAGGATGGGAATGGGATGGGGCAGCTGAGAGATGATCTTTATTTTTATTTTTTTAACAGGAGAAAGACAAATTTGATTTCCTAAGTTATGGGAGACCCATAAACATATGTGATCCAAAGGCAGTCAGGCAATTGAGGTTTCTATGCCATCTCAGCTGAGGGATATGGGCTGGAGCTTCAAAGGGGAGGAGGGCAATTCACTGGGAAGTTAAGAAGAGCAGGCGTTTGCTAATCAGACATTTTACCTGCTATGCAGGTAAGTCCTACAGGAAAGAAAAAAAAAATATCTCTGGTAATAGCTCTTTCTGGGCCATCCCCTATCTACATTTGTTTTTTTTTAGGCAGTTAAAGAAGAGGTAAAAGTTTTTCCTGAGATGGCCAGCTCTTTTTTCTTTTTAATATATTTTATTGATTTTTTATAGAGAGGAAGAGAGAGGAATAGAGAGAAACATCCATGAGAATCATCAATCAGCTGCCTCCTGCACACTCCCCACTGGAATCGAATCCGGGACCTTTCAGTCCGCAGGCTGTCGCTCTATCACTGAGCCAAACCGGTTTTGGCAAGATGGCCAACTCTTTGTTTGTTTGTTTGTTTTTTGAGAACATGAAGATATCTAGAATTTCTTTTTTTTTAAATTTTTTTATTTTTTTACAGAGAGGAAGGGAGAAGGATAGAGAGCTAGAAATGTCCATGAGAGAGAAACATCGACCAGCTGCCTCTTGCACCCCCCCCCCCCCCACTGGAATGTGCCCGAAACCAATGTGCATGCCCTTGACCAGAATCGAACCTGGGACCTTTCAGTCCGCAGACCGGTTTCGATCTAGATGGCCAGCTCTTGATTGCCTTCAGCTCAAATAATCCACATGCAAAAGGGACATATTTTGGGTAGTATAATTTGCTCCCCTTTAGTTCCACCTTTGAAACTTTCCCAAGAAGTCCAGCTCAAGAAGTGGAGTTGGTAGATTGCATCATCTTTAGAACCAGTCTCTCAGACTTGAGAATAAGTCAGTTTAGTTAAACAGTTGTCTCACTTCAGGAGGCAGTGATGCATGTAGGCTCTCAAAGTTAGGCCTATTATTACACAGTCATTTAATAAGAGTCATTTCTATGGAAACAAAAGAGAAACAAATGTTAATGATTGGGACAGATTTTAATCTCAGTTTCTGAGTTGTGAAGGCAGTCAGCGGAGGTTTCTAGATGTCCAGTTTGAAGTAGCTGGAGTGAGGGCAGGCTATATGATAGATTTTCCTGGTTTGCAGTTTGAATGTCTGGTGGTCTTTTAGAGTGAACTACCTTTATTCTTTTGAGAACTGCAGAGGTGTCATTGGAATATCAGCAGGTCAAAAAATATCAAGTATTCTTTGCTAAAGTTATCTATGGGCCAGAATGGTTTATTGGAAAAATATGTTATTGTTATATTTGTTAGAATGATGTTAAAGCTCCCTCAAATTTTCCCCGCACCTCTCCCGTATGAACTCTTTAAATGGATGATGCTATTTTGATAGGAGTGCTGAGTGGCTAGGATGTGCTGTGACTTGTAGTGCTTGGTTAGGTTCATTGAATGATTTAGTTATTCTCCCAGGTGTTGTCATCCCTGAATTATCACCAAGACTCAGAGAGCAAATCTGCCGTCAACTCTAACACAGACTAAGTTGGAAAAAGCTTTAAGAGAAATAGGTATTTCTGAGTCCTTCAAAGAAGAGAGCAGAGAGTCAAATGAAAAGCTCAAAGGGGAACCATCACTTCTAGAAGAAAAGAAAGCTAGGTGCTCTGAGGTCTAAATGTTAGCAAGATACTTTCATCTTTGAATTGGAGAACCAGAATGACATCTAAGATAAGATATGAGTGGGTGTATTTTTTTTATTTGCCTTGTTGACTGATTATTTTTGCTAGATACAGGAGCCAGAGGAAGGTTTTTGTTTTTCTGTCATAATACTGTATCAGCTCTGTTGGAAGTGTGTCAGATCAGCTAAGTGAGCAGGTGCTCTGACAGGTGGGAATAATATGATCTCTCAATTCTACCTGGCAGATAAAGTACTACTATCTCAGTATTTGGGCCATAGAGAATGACAGACTCTGGTTTATTTCTTGGTGATTTGTGGGATCCCAGTCTCTATAATTCCCTGACCACTGTCCTTTCTTAAAGGGGATGTCGAAACACAAGTGCCCTGACAAAACTTATTAATGTAACCATCCTGCTCCCACTGAGGAGAATGTGGTTTAGAGCAGAGGACCACTTCCTAAATCCTGTGGTGTGTCAGACTGGCCCGCAGACTCACTGTAGTTGGTCTTATCATCTTTGGCCCTGCTCTAAATGAGTTTATTTTACTTGACAAATACTTAGATAGTTATTATTTTCCAGGTACTGTTTTAAATGCTTTGCAAATAATAACTCACTTAATTCACATCACACCCTCATGGGTAGGTACTATTATTATCCCCACAGATAATGATACCAAGGCACACAGTATAAGTAATTGACCCAGATTTCACAGCTAGGAAGTGGGAGACAGGATATAGACACTGGCAAACTGGCTCCAGAGTTCTTTCTCCTAAATACTCTACTCTGCTGCCTCAGTGTTAATGTCATTTGAATTCCTGATTTCTCTTTTCAGCTACTATTTCGGTTAAGAATAAATTTGACTGTGTGCATAAAAATTTTAAAATAATAATGACTCAGGCCCTAGCTGGTTTGGCTCAGTGGGTAAAGCGTCAGCCTGTGGAGTGAAGGGTCCCAGGTTCGATTCCGGTCAAGGGCACGTACCTGGATTGTGGGCTCAACCCCTGGGTGGAGCATGCAGAAGGCAGCCAATCAATGATTCTCTCTCATCATTTTTTAAAATACATTTTTTTTATTTTTTTACAGAGAGGAAGGGAGAGAGATAGAGAATTAGAAACATCAATGAGAGAGAAACATTGATCAGCCGCCTTCTGCACACCCCCTACTGGGGATGTGCCCGCAACTAAGGTACATGCCCTTGACTGGAATCGAACCCAGGACCTTTCAGTCCACAGACCGATGCTCTATCCACTGAGCCAAACCGGTCTCGGCCTCTCTCATCATTGTTGTTTCCATCTCTCTCCTTCCCTTTCTCTTCCTCTCTGAAATCAATGAAAAAAAAATTTTTTTTTAAAAAAGAAGAGGCAATCAATGAATGCATTTATAAGTGGAACAACAAATTAATGTTCTCTCTCTAAAACCAATAAATAAAATTTTTAAAAAATGACTTGAATAAAAGTACATTTAACTTTCATAAAAGAAATCTAAGCCACTCAAAAATGCATTTTACTTTATTGGGGATGCAAACGTCTATTCAGCTGATAAGCCATCTTTAGTATACGGCTTCTATTTAATAATCCAAGATGGCTATTCAAACTGCAGACATCTTATCTGCTTTTTAGCCACTTGGAAGAAGAAAGGGCAGAGGGATCATATGCCCACTCCCTTTAAGGCATTTTTTAGAAGTTGCTCCAGACTCCTCTTTATATCTCATTGTCCAGAACTTAGCTGCAGTAGTGCCTGGAACTATAGTTTTTATTTTGCCCAGCTAAAAGTCGGGCTCCTGTGTCCAATGAAGAAGGGGGATCAGGAGAGAACAGTAGTTTCTGTGACAATTACCTTTGGAGCTAGACAGTCCCAACAGTTTTTTTGACGATAACAGCCCTGACTCCATTTCTCAATTTAGGATTATTTCTCCCTCAGGGCAAGCAAGCAGGGACCTGGAACAGTAAAATGGAAACTGCTAGGTCAGAAGTCATGGTAGAGAGCACTCCTATTACCCTCCTCAGTTACATCCTTGCACTTCAAGTCTCATACTCAATCACCTACTAAAGTTGTTGTTTTTTTAGTATTTTCTGTTTTTTGAGGCTAGTAATACTAGATATTCATATTTCCAAGAATCAAAGAATAGCCTGGATTCACTAGTTTATTGAGAAGATTAAATGAAATATGACACCTGAAATCTCTTGGCATGGTTCCTGTTTTGAGTGTTTTTTTAAACTATATGCCCATTGATTTCTGGATTAGGCTTTCTTGGGTAAGTTAGCATTGAGTAAGGCAAAAGCCATATGATTTTTTAAAATGTATTTTTATTCATTTTAGAAAGGAAGAGGGAGAGATAGGAACATCAATGATGAGAGAGAATCATTGATCAGCTGCCTCCTGCATGCACCGTAGTGGGACCCTTCAGTTCCCAGGCTGGTACTCTATCCACTGAACCAAACCAGCTAGGGGAAAAGTTATATGATTTTGAAAAGATGCTTTCATGACCATTGAGAATAGTAAATTCATTAGATAAATAATCCTAATTGGAATTTGGCCTTATATCATAATTTCAACCTCTTAAAAATATTTTATTCACCAAGAGTTTGTCATGAAATCAGTGCGGTACTATTTTTTTGTTTATTTGTTAATCCTCACCTGACGATATTTTTCCATTGTTTTTCATAGAGTATGGAAAGGAGGGATAGGTGAGAAGAGAAAGAAACATTGATGTGAGAGACACACATTGACTGTTTGCCTCCTGCATGTGCTCCTACCAGGGGTGAGGAGTGAGCCCGAAACCCAGATATATGCCTTTAATCAGGAATTGGACCTTTGACCCTTCAGTGTGCCAGCTGATGCTCTAACCATTGAGCAACTGGCCAGGGTTAGTTTGTAAATGATGCTTGGCTGTACTCTTGGCTTTCAAGTTCTGCTTTCTTTAAGTGGAAGTAGTTAAACCTCAGCCCTGGCATTTTTCAGCCTCGTTAGTAATAGGAATGTCTTGTTTTCCCTTTTGGGGACCAATTTGCTAAACGCCACATTGTGTTTCAGTTGAACTGACTGTTGAGTTCTGAGATATGCCTCACATTGTCCAGTGATTCACTGCCAGGTTCAAGAGAGTTACAGTGGATTATCCGTCATCCTCTGAGTGGTGAGGTGTGTGATTCAGAGCCCAGGATTCAAGAGCGCAGAGATGGAGAGGAAGATTGTTAACTTCAGCCTCTTACTAGCCACTTTAAATAAGAATGTAATTCTGACTTATGAATGAATGCATTTGATTTTTTCCAGTGGATAAGTAAGTTTATTTATCTTTAAGAATAAATTGATTCTTTTTGAAGGAGGAAGAGTGTTCTGTATTTTTCTAGCTCTCTCAAATCCTTACAAGGCCTGTTGAAGGAACTGGCCTTGTGATTGACCAAATTTTGTTGGAGAGATGTCCCTAGCCAATTCCTAATATGGGTACTTAATTAATGTAGGCAGATGGGTATATGTTTTCTGATGTGACCTGCCATTCAGGAAGTGATACCCACAGGAAAATGTCTTATGACCCAGACTAGCTTGAGTTGGCTGTGGGGTGAGGGGAGAGGAAGAGTCATATGATAAGAAGAGACATCACTTGAATAGCATATTTACTTCTCTTTCTTTGAAATGACCAATTTGGGGGATTGCAGGGAATGAGAAAGATATAAAACAACCTCAGAGAGCTGACTAGCCTGGGGAAATCTTCAGGAGGGAGGATCATAGTTTCTAGGTTGCAGCAGCATCCCCTATTTCCAAGGACCATTGAGGATTAAGTTACTGTCGCCTAGAGAAGATGGATTTTTAATTTTTGTAGCCTCTCCTGTCCTGGTCTCTTGTCTATTAGAATGACTTAAGAGAACCCCATTCTAACCATATTCTTTTTATTGCTGTGATTATTTTTTCTCTTGCTTTCATGTTTTGTAATTTCTGAACTTTTTATTGTAAGATTTCATTAATATCCAGGGGGTGGGACAGTAAAGCTGATAGAGGAAATCAACCATCAATGAAGACGTTTTCTTAACCTCATTCCATAATATTTTACTAATTTCCTTTCAGCTGATTGTTGTGCCACATATACCAGACTTGGCAACTTCTTTGGCCACAGTCCTTTGTATCAGTGGGTCTCCTAGCTGCATACATAAGCTGGTGTCTTCCCCTTATAAGCTGGGGAGAAGCCGAGTGTCTAACTCTAAGTAGAGGCTGTCAGCCCAGGCCCTCTCATTTCTGGTACTTGGAACCATGCTTCTAGATTAAAAACTCCTACTTGAAGTGTCCTTCACAGGTTTAATTAGCTGCCTCTGTGGGCCAAGAGACTGATCAGGAGACAAAAGCTTCCCTTCAAACCTGTTTTTCTTTTTTTCCAGGGTATTTTATTATTTATTTTATTAATTTATTTATTTTAATTTAGTTTTCCTGCTGACCTGGTTTGTGAGCTACTTTACTCAACTTGCCTTTAACATTCTTTTTTTTTCTTTTTTTTTTTTTTTCTTTTTTCTGTCTGTGTAGAAGATCATTGCTGTTTTCAAACCCAAGAATGAAGAGCCCTATGGGCACCTTAATCCTAAGTGGACCAAGTGGCTGCAGAAGCTCTGCTGTCCCTGCTGCTTTGGCCGTGATTGCCTTGTCCTCAACCAGGGCTATCTTTCAGAGGCAGGGGCCAGCCTGGTGGACCAAAAACTGGAACTCAACATTGTACCCCGTACAAAGGTCAGTGACCTGTCTCCAGAGGGCCTTACTGCCTTAGACAGAGTTTTCCTGGGCCTAAGCCCTGCTTCATGTTAGGTTATTGAGCTCATTAGGTCTTGAGCACGCTTATGCCCTGAGTTTAGGGGTTCTCAGCCTTTTTTTTGCAAGGGCTTTGTGTGGAGAGCTAGGTTTAAATTCATGATTTGCTCATCTGATGAAAGTTGTCCTGAGAAGGATACACATAAATTTTTTGCCTACATTGCCCTAACTGGTTTGCTCAGTGGATAGAGCATCGGACTGCGGACTGAAAGGTCCCAGGTTCGATTCTGGGTCAAGGGCATGTACCTTGGTTGCTGGCACATCCCCAGTAGGGGGTGTGCAGAAGGCAGCTGATTGATCTCTCATCAGCTCTAACTCTATTCCTCTCCCTTCCTCTCTGTAAAAAATATTTTAAAAAATTATTTTTGCCTACAATTTCAGGAAGTTTACTCACACCGTGATGCATATTTATGGGCTCCCTGCATCTTTGGATCCCAGATAACCTTAAGCAGATTAGAAACCTAGCTACTTTTGTGCTCACTTTCTTAGGTTTCCAAATCACTCTAGGATTTAGATACAGTCTAGAATGGACTAGCTGATATCAGCTACGCACTTACGTAAGGTTCAGCAAGGAGGACTAGAATGAGCTGAGGTTTAGAATAAAGGTCTGGCCTGATCCCTACAGGGAACTGACATGGAATTCTACTTCCTCATCTTTATACTATGGGATTCTGGTACTTATCACAACATAACAAAATTGGTGTCCCAAGAAGCATATCCACACTTAGATTAAAAACCCCTGCTTGAAGTATTCTTCACAGGTTTAGTTAGCTGACTCCATGGGCAAAGAGACTGATCAGGAAACAGGAGCTTCCCTTCAAACCTCTTTTTCTGTCTTCCATGGTATTTTATTTTATTTTATTTTAGAGAAGGAGGGAAGGAGAGATGGGAGGAGGAGAAAGTAACATCTATGTGAGTGAGATACATCAATCAGTTGCCTCCTTTATGTATCATACCGGGGATAGAATCCGAAACTTAGGTATGTGCCCTGACCAGGAATCGAACTTAGACCTTCCAGTGCACAGCATAACACTCCAACCAACTGAGCCACATCAGCCAGGGCTTCCCAGAGTATTATAGAAGAAAATGTTCCTGTTGTGGATATTTAACTATGTCTGCTTCTTTGCCATCAAATTCCAAACAATAAGCCAACTAGTTGTAAGTATAGAAGTCACGGACCATTTCTTTTTTTCTTTCTTTTTTTTTTTTTTCTTTTTTTCAGGACAAACACTCCTATAGGACGGTGTGCAAGCACATGGTCTGGGAGCACACCTATCCTGAGCAGTGGTCTGCTTGGCTTTTTAATCCTGACACACATCACCTGTCCCTCACTCTTTATTGGAGCTTATACTCACAGGCTTTCACGATTGGCTAATTTAAAGGAAAGGGTTGACTTTTGCCATTTCAAGATGGTGGCCCCTAGGGGAGCTACAAGTCATGCAAGCCAAAATGGCAGCTGCCTAAACTGTTCTTTGACACAAAAGATTACTTGTTTATTCTCACAATTCCCCCCTTTTCTTTATTTAAACTCTTTTCTTTAAAGTCAGCTGACATCCATGACTTTCCTGTGTCTAGAAGACTATTTTGCTGTTTTATCAATGTGATTTCAATTAACCTTTGGATAAGTCCTCTCATATATGGGATGATATAACATCCCATCACTGTGACTACTAATTAAAGAGGTGAATATGGCTACCATCATTCCCTTCCACTTTCCAAACCATTGCTCTAGTGAATCAGAGAAGGGATCCTCAAATCCAGGATTCTAGCAACGCATTAGCTAAAGTTGCCATTCCCTTTAGGGCCTTAGTGATGGTCCGTCTGCTGTGTTGTCAGGATAATGTACAGCATTGGCTCCCAACATTACACATACTCCTCCTTTTTCTGCCGAAATTATATCCAAGGCCAACCTGTTCTTACAGGTCATCCTGCTGGTGGCATCTAGTTGTTTGGCTATGCCTTAACTGCGTCTTGAGTATAGTTAACAAACCTTTGCTGGTAATCAATCCAACCACATTCTTGTTTATAGTTGGCCACCAGAACAGGACAGACTCAAATCCTGCAGCAATCTGATTTCTAGCCTTAAACTCGTTTGGCACTCTTCCTGGAATCCCAGTGGGATCTGTGTAAATATGGGAATCAAAGGAGCACCCTGGACTCTCTCTTCTTCCTAGTCTGTCTGTCCATTGAAAAGGTTTACGATATACCAAAATGAAAGGGATAGCTCAGGGACCATTTCTTGAAATATTCTTCTTCCATTCTCAGCACCTCGAAAAGTACTATACTTATAGTAAGCATTTCTTAAGGACCACCTAGATAGGTGATGGAATATTAAACAATGAGAAGCAGTACCATCCCTGGCTGGTTTGGCTTGGTGGTTAAATCATTGGCCTGCAGTGAAGGGTCTCAGGTTCGATTGCCAGTCAAGGGCATGTACCTCAATTGCAAATTCCCCAGCCACAGTAAGGGAGCATGAAGGAGGCAACCAATCCATGTGTCTCTCTTTCTTTTATTAAATATATTTTATTGATTTTTCATAGAGAGGAAGAGAGAGGGATAGAGAGTTAGAAATATCAATGAGAGAGAATCATCGTCAGCTGCCTCTTGCACACCCTGTACTGGGGATGTGCCTCAACCAAGGTACATGCCCTTGACTGGAATCGAACCCGGGACCTTTCAGTCCGCAGGCCAACGCTCTATCCATTGAGCCAAACTGGTTTCGGCTCATGTGTCTCTCTTGAATCCATGTTTCTCCCCCTCCTTCCTCCCTTCCACTCTAGCAATCAATGGGGAAAATATCTTCTGGTGATGATTTTCTTTTTTAATTATTAAAAAAGACAAACAATACCAGAGATCCTCCAACTTCAGGTCTAGGAGAGAATGTTTGATCATAATTCTGGGTTTGTAGTTCTCATTTGACATCTAATTCACTGCCTGGCTTTGTGCAGCTCATTCCTTCCCTTCATGTTTCAGCCCTCCCTGTGTGTGTATAGTTAAATAGCACACTCTAACCTTCTTGTATAATAATGTTCCTATGACCTCCTCTCTAACCTGAAATCCTTCTACTACGCCCCTCCTAAACTTTAGAAACTCTTTTAAATACTCTTTGCCCATCACTTTTATTTTTTATTTATTTTTTACTTTTTATTTTTTCATGTTTAACAGTCTTTAATTCAAATGTGAAAGTTCAATCAAGCCAGTTGTGGGGCTTGGGACAACTCTTTTAAAAACAAAAATGGAGAAATGCAACAAAATGATCTTTCCACTTTTTCTCCAGAAACTTTCAAGAAAAGGATAACTCATAGGGCCATAGAAGATCCATTTAGTCATGCCCAGTTTCTCCCCCTATGCCCATCACTTTTAATATCCTTTCTTCACTGGGTAAATAACAGAGTGCCCTCGGCCTGTGCCTGACTGCTGTGCCTGTACTTCTGGAGGGCAGTGCCTAAGAATCAGAGGGCTTAAGTTTGAATTCTGGCTTTGCAGTTTTTTAGTGGTTGCCCTTGTGCAAGTCATTTAGAAGTCTCTCCACCCCCCATGCTCAGTTTCCTCACTATAAAAATAAGGATATAAATAGTTACTATTTTATAGCATGGCTATTAAGATTACACAATATCCATTTACTAGTAAAACAAATAGCCCAGTGCCTGGAACAATGTAAACACTCCCTAAATCTTAGTATTTTTATGACTATTTTAATCATTAATGTTACCCCCACCACACACACACAATCACAATCCTTTTCTTCCCCATCTCTGATCTTCCTCTTTCTCTATTAGAGAACTTTTTATATATATATATATATATATATATATATATATATATATATATATGTGTGTGTGTGTGTGTGTGTGTGTGTATATATATATATATATATATATATATATTATTGATTTTTTTTTACAGAGAGGAAGGGAGAAGGATAGAGAGTTAGAAACACCGATGCGAGAGAATCATCCATCAGCTGCCTCCTGCACACCCCCCACTGGGGATGCGCCCGCAACCAAGGCACATGCCCTTGACCGGAATCGAACCCAGGACCTTTCAGTCTGCAGGCCGACGCTCTATCCACTGAGCCAAACCGGTTTCGGCATCTATTAGAGAACCTTAATGAGGCCTGAGGAACTTTTGCGTCAAAAATTCAGCAGGAACAAAAATACTTGTCTTCTATGAGACTGATATGAGACAGTACTTTGCAAGCTTAACAAAAAGCTGCTGGAGAATAGTAAGAGGAAGTATCTCTGCCTATCCTAACCCCACCTCTCACCCTGTCATAGGATTCTAGCCAGTTGATCAGAGCATCTGTCACTACGGAAATGGGGCTCATGTTGCAGAGTAGCCTCAAGCAGTAAGGCCCTAATTTTCATTTGGTAGCTGTCTTTGTTCTCTGTTCCAGTAAGGTTTCAGGTGATGATAGTTTCACTAGTCATAGGGAAAAGGGGGCTGTTATGAAGAGTGATTGCAAATAAATCTGATGAGGGAAAGGTGGTTTATGGCCTGAGAGAACTAGGGTTTCACCATGTTCATGAGTGCCATTCTACAATACCTTGCACTGGATGGATGTGTTAAAGGAGGGAAGGAGGGAATTATTTTGCTCCTTTCTATCTCTATCATTCAAGGGCAAAATAATTAGTTTATTTGTAATGAATTTTGCAAGGCTTAGGAAAAGAATTTTCTTATAAATTTGATTTTACATATTTATATGCGAAAATCCACTTGTTGCTGACTCTGAAAGAAGCTTATAACTCATTCATTCATGCACTTAATATTTTTGAACATGTGCCAGACACTATTTGGGAATGCTAATGTGAGTAAAGTGTTCTTTTCCTCACCTAATTTCATTAGTCTTAAGAAAGATGTTAGATATACATATACATATGGATGGTCACAAGGCAATGTGATAAGTATGATAATAGGTGTACATATGGATTATGGATTATACTTGATTGTCATCACAATGTGACAATCAAGTGTCAAGTGTAATATTGATGGCCTGTTATTTTTTTTTTTTTTTAATAGGCAATGCATGTATCTAGTGCTAAAATCAGAAAGCACAGGAGAGTAAATGGAGAAGAGTAATTCAGCTTTCCTCCCAACCCTGTCTGCCAGCCACTTGATTTCATTTCTCAGAGATAGCTGCTGTTATTAGTTTCTTGTGTAATATTCCAGATATAGTCTACATAAATATTCATTGTGGTGGGGGAGAGAGGTGGTCCTAATATATGGTGACAGGAAAAGATTTGACTTTGGATGGTGGGCACATGGTGCAGTATACAGATCTTGTAACATAGAAACCGACACCTGAAACCTGTATATTCATGTTGACCAGTGTTACCCCAATACATTTAATAAATAAAAATTTTAAATTAAAACAAAATATAACAATTCACTAAAAATTAAAAATAATTTTAATGTTCACTTTTTGAATGTGAATAATTGCACATCGTATAAAATTCAGAAGGAAATAAAAGGGTATAGCATAAGTTGCAATTTGTTTTTTTAATTCTCAACTGAGGATATTTTTTCCATTGATTTTTAGAGAAAATGGGAGAGGGAGAGACAGAGAGAAACATCAATGTGAGAGAGATACATTGATTGGTTGCCTCCCACATGCCCCCGACCAGGGCCAATAGCCTGCAACCAAGGTATGTGCCCTTAACTGGAATCGAACCCAGGACTCTTCAGGCCGTTGCTCTCTACACTGAGCCAAACTGGCTAGGGCGCAATTTGTTTTTATTTGGAGAGAAACAGGCATTGGGCCATCTTCTACTAATTTAGGAGGTAGCTGTATTTGTCAGTGTAATTCATGTTAGCTGCTGTAACAACCTCTGAATCACAGTGGTTTAATATAATAGAGTTTATTTCTAGCTCACATCATAGAATTATGCCATTTAGGCAGCTTCTTGGGTCCCATGTCATTCTATGTAGTGACAAGGTGTCTAGGGTTCTTCTGTGATGTGGTTTGTCAACATTCCATTGGCCCAAACTGGTCATATACTCCATCTAAGCTGCTAGGAACACTGAGAGATGTATTCCTTTTGTGTGCCCTAGAAGAGGAACAGTACTGGTGAACATCAAGCTATTATTCTCTGCCATAGTGGGATAATTTTTTAAACTTGACTCTACCTCTAACCTAGGTATCTCTTCTCTTTCAACTGTAGGTAGTACACATCGCCAGTGAGACCTTCAACTATAGTGCCATTGACCGAGTGAAGTCCAGGGGCAAGCGGCTTGCGCTAGAGAAAGTGCCAAAAGTTGGGCAACGGTTTAACCGCATCGGGCTACCACTAAAGGTATAGACTGTATTTATGTGGTTTATCAAACCTGATGACTTTTAGTGCCATTGTCATCCAAGTGGTGAAGCAAGGTGTCTATAGACCAGGGATGGGGAACGTCCGGCCCTGCAGGTGGGACTCAAATTCAATAAATCTAGGAGCTTTTTTCATAGCAACATATTTTTATATTAAGCGAATTATATTAAGTAAATGATGTTATAAATATCCAAATGGCCCTTGGCAGAAAGAGAAAAGATTCCCCACCCTGCTGTAGACTCATACACTGAGTGGCCAGATTATTATGACCTCTGAATGCATAATAATCTGGCCACTAAGTGTATTTGTATCTCAGATGGGTACCAGAAGTATTCTAGACTTTTACTAGAGATCAACCACCTAAATGCCCTGAGCTTTCTATCAGCCAGTGAAAAGGGGAAAACTGATCAGGTGCACATTTTATAGTATCTTCGATATCAAATAAATGAGGTACTCAAGAGAGGTAAACCTAACTTTTCCCCTTTACTCCACTTGACCATTTGGATGGGTTTCTTGAATTTGGACAGGCAATCACCATCACAGCACTTTTCTCCTGTACTTGCAAGGAGATGAAGTAAACATCTTGAAAACATTTCCTCCTCTTATATAAAATTCACAAGACCTTACTGGGTCCCTGGCTTACTCTTGGGATCTTTGAACTTGGGCTATAGGGAAATAACTTTCTTCCTCTTTCTTGGTTGCAGGTTGGTTCATTCCAGCTCTTTGTTGAAGGCTATAAAGATGCAGACTACTGGCTACGGCGTTTTGAAGCAGAACCTCTCCCTGAGAACACTAACCGGCAACTATTGCTGCAGTTTGAACGATTGGTGGTGCTGGATTACATCATCCGCAACACTGGTGAGCAGTGTAGTGGTCCTCTGCTCTGTGCCAGACTGATGAGGCATAGGAGGAGGCCTGGAGCCACACTGGCCAGAGCCCTAGTAATTTTATAGCAGCTAGACCTATCACAGGACAGTTTTGTCTTTGAGTACCTCATATAAGTGGATTCTTATATTTGTCATTTTGTGACTTGCTTATTTCATCTATATATATATAAAAGCCTAAGTGACCTTTACGACTGAATGACCAGAAAGACTGGTTGACCAGTCACTATGATGTGCACTGACTATCAGGGCACAGACGCTCAACGCAGGAGCAATCTTCTGGTGGTCAGTGCGCTCCCACAGCCAACCTCCCGTGGCCCCTCCTCCCAGTCAGTCAACCTCCCGCTGCCTCCCCCCTACCTCCACCCCCTGGCCAGCCAACCTCCCATGGTCTTTCCTGCCCCAGTCCCCAATCGGGGTGGCATGCCAACCTCCTATGGTCACTCCCCCCAGCTGGCCGGCCTCCCAATAGGCCTCGATCACCAGCCAGGCTAAGGGACCCTATCCATGCCCGAATTTGTTTAATATCCTCTAGTTTGGTATAATATCCTTAAGGTTCATTCATGGGCTGAGTAATCCATTGTATGTGTATATAGCACCTTTTGCTTCTCTGTGGTATATTTTAGCTATTATAAATAATGTTGCTGTGAACATGGATGTACAAATATCTCTTTGAGATACTGCTTTCATTTCTTTGAGTATATACCAAGAAGTAGAATTGCTGGATCATATGGTAATTCTGTCTTTAATCTTTGAGAAATCACTATACTGTTTTCCATAGTGGCTATACCATTTTACATTTCCATTAACACCACAGAAGAGCTCCAATTTTTCCACATCCTGATCCATTTGTTATTTTCTGTTCTTGTTGTTTGTTTTTATAGTAGCCATTCTAATGATAGTGAGGTGGTATCTCATTGTAATTTTGATTTGCATTTCCCAAATGATTAGTTATGTTGGACATATTTTTAAATGCTTTTTGGGTATCTGTATTTTGGAGAAATGTGTATTCAAGCCCATCTTCCAGTCAGGTTGTTTTATTGCTGTTGAGTTATAGGAATTCTGGATATTCATCCCTTATCATATATATAATTTGTAAATACTTTTTTTCTATTCTGTGGGTTGCTTTTTTACTGTGTTGATAGTGTCTTTTGATGTAATTTTAAAATTTTCATGAAGTCCAACTTTATTTTTTATTTTTTTGTTGTCTCTGTTTTTGGTATTATATCTAAGAAATAATTGCCAAATCAAATATCTTGAAGCATTTTGACCTTTGCTTTCTTTTAAGAATTTTATAGATATAAGTTTTGGATCCATTTTGAGTTAATTTTTGTATATAGTGTTAGGGAGGGTCTAATCTCATTTGTTGAAATGACTGTCTTTCCCCCATTGAATGTCTTGCCATCTTTATAAAAGGTCATTTGATCATATATATGCAAAGGTTTAATTCTGGACTCTATTCCATTGGTTTTTACTATGTCTGTTTTTTACACTGTGTTCAGTACTATACAGTTTGTCGCAAGTATTGAAGTCAGGAAATATGAGTCCTCTAGCTTTGTTCTTTCTCTAGATTGTTTTTTCTATTCACAGTCTCTAGATATTCCATAGGAATTTTAGGATGGGTTTTTCTGTTTTTGCCAAAAAAAATGTGTTGGGGTTTTTATAGGAATTGCATTCAAGCTATAGATTGTTTCAGGTATTAGTGCATCTTAGTAATATTTTCTTCCTGTCTATGAACATGGGATATCTTTCCACTTACTATGTTTTCTGTAATTTCTTTCAGAATTGTTTTGTAGGATTTTTTTATTTTTTAATCCTTACCAGAGGGTATTTTTCCTATTGATTTCCAGAGAGATTGAAAGAGGAACAGAGAAAAATACAGAAGAGAGAGAGAAATATCCATGTGAAAGAGACACATTGACTGGTTGCCTCCTACATGTGCTTTACCAGGGCCAGGGATTGAACCTACAACCCAGGTACATGCCCATCACTAGGATTTGAACCCACGATCCTTTGATGCATGGGCTGATGCTCCAACCATTGAGCAACATTGTCCAGGACAGTGTTTGGTAGTTTTCATTAATTTCTTTGGTTAAGTTAATCCCTAAGTATTTTTTTCTTCTTGATGCTATTATAAATGGAAGCTTATTATTATTATATTGAATAATGTCTAATGCTTTTTCTGTGGCAATTGAAATCAGCAATCTGTAAATGTGATATTTATATTGATGCATTTTCATTGGTTGAACCATCCCTACATTCCAGTAATAAATATTAGTCTCGGTGTATGTATTATCTTGTAATATGCTGCTAAATTCAGTTTGCTAGTATTTTCTTGAAGATTTTTTTTTTTAACCCTCACCCGAGAAAATGTTTTTATTGATTTTAGGGAGAGAGGAAGGGGGAGAGTGAGAGAGAGAAGCATTGATGTAAGTAAGAAACATCAATTGGATGCCTTCCATATACACCCTGACCGGTGATCAAACCACAACTTAGGTATGTTAGGTATGTGCCCTGACTAAAAATCAAACCTGCAACCTTCTGGTGTAGGGGTTAACACTATCAACTGAGCCACAACAGCCGGGGCTGTTGAGGATCTTTGCATAAATATTCATAAGTGATATTGGTTTGTAGTTTCCTTATTGTGTCTTTGTCTGACTTGGGTTCCAGAGTAATGCTGGTCTCGTAGAATGAGTTATGTAATGTCCCCTCCTCTTCAATTTTTCAGAAATGTTTGAGGAGGATTGGGGTTAGTTCTTTAAATGTTTGGTAGAATTCACTAGTGAAGCCATCAGGTCCAGGGCTATTATTTGTTGAGAGATTTTTGATTACTGATTCAATTTCCTTACTAATAATAGGCCCACTTAGATTTTCTATTTCTTTTTGGATTAGTTTTGGTAGGTTTTATGTTTCTAGGAATTTTTTCATTTCATTTAGGTTATTCACTTTGTTAGCATAAACTGCTCACAGTACTGTCTTCATTTTTTAAATTTTATTTTTGTAGTCTCGGTAGTAATGTCCCTACTTTAATTTCTGATTTTAGTAACTTGAATATTCTTTTTCTCCCCCTTAGTCTTTATAGCTGAAAGTTGGTCAATTTTGTTTATCCAGTGAAACAGTTGTATTTTAATTTTAGATGTCTGTATAGATATGTTTAAATTTTCATCTACCATCTTATTATATGCTTTCTATGTTTTTCTATCTTCTTTTATTCTCCCTTTCTCTCTATGCTATTTTTTTCCCTTTTTCCTTTCTTTCTTTTAAATTCTTTTATTATTACTTTATTTCTCCTCTCTTTTAGCTTAGAAGTTGTATGTTTGTCTTTTCTTTTTGGTGGTTACCATGAGAATCTTTGATTTTCCAAATCTAATATTAATTGGTACTTTTACTATTTTCTTGGACAATGAAAAGATCTTAGAACCCATCAGCTCCATTTATCCATCTCCAGACTTTTATACTATTATTGTCATGTGTTTTAATTATATATGTACCAGAGGCCCAGTGCACTGGGGTGGGGGTCCCTCAGTCCGGCCTGTGCCCTCTTGCAGTCCAGGACCCCTCGGGGATGTCTGGGACCCCTCGCTCCTTACTGCCTGCCTGCTTACTGCTCCTTACCGCTAGGTTCGCTGCTCTTTAGCAGAGGCAGGAGAGGCTCCCACCACTACCGCTGAGCTCACCAGCCGTGAGACTGGCTTCTAGCTGAGCGGCACTCCCCCTGTGGGAGCACACTGACCACCAGGAGTCAGCTCCTGTGCTGAGCATCTGCCCCTTTGTGGTCAGTGCACGTCATAGCAACCAGCTGTTCTGATCATTCGGCCTTAAGGTTTGCTTAGGCTTTTATTATCTAGTCTAGAGGCCCGTGCATGAAATGTATGCACTTGGGCTGGGGGGGGGGGGTCCCTCAGCCCAGCCTGTGCCCTCTTGCAGTCCAGGAGCCCTCAGATGTTTGACTGATGGCTTAGGCCCACTCCCTGCCGAAGTCATCAGTTGGACATCCTTGGTGCTGCCACGGAGATGGGAGAGGCTCCTGCCACTACTGCTGAGCTCGCCAGCCTTGAGCGCAGCTTCTGGATGAGCGGAGCTCCCCCTGTGGGAGTGTACTGATCACCAGGGGGCAGCTCCTGCATTGAGTGTCTGCCCCTGATGGTAAGTGCACAACGATCATTCCATCATTTGGTCGATTTGCATATTAGCCTTTTATTATATAGGATAGGTATGTACACATGCATATATAAACACATTTATATAAAACTGGAAGACAATACTATTGTCATTAATAATGATTATGGAGACTTTTGAACATTCACAAATAAGCAGCATAATGAACCAGTCATCCCACCTCTTAGCCTCTTCCCAAATCAGCAGGTGCTCTATAGGAAAAGAAGTCACAAATGTTGGACGTCCTCTCTAGATTTCCTTTCTCTCCCAGATCTTGATACTTTAACTGTCAACGATCTTATTAAAATCTCCAAAGCCTTTAGGAGATTTTAAAATATATAACTTTGTAGTTGTTCTCAGTAGAATGATTGGCCAAGTGTCCAAAAAAACTAGTCCACAATGAAAATGAAAGTTGCCCCAGTTTTCTGTGGGATTCTTTTTGCTAACTTTATATTTCTGTTGATAGATCGTGGCAACGACAACTGGCTGATTAAATATGATTGTCCAATGGATAGTTCTAGCACTCGGGTAAGAGGTTCATTTACATCTTAAAGAAGAGGATGAAGTGGAGTATATGCATTCAAAAGAATTGGGGGGTAGCACATATATTTAAAATTGATAGGTTAATGCTTGGTAGAGTTTTCCTCTATCTGTTTTTTAAGTAATATGCTACTAAATAATGTTAATGGGAATAAAATAAAGTTCACATAAATGTGGGACATACTTCAAGCCTTTCTTAGAGATTCACGTTGCATAGTAGCATAGTAAAGGTCTGAGAAGATGTGCATTAAATGAACCTGTTTGAGTGATTTCTAAGCTTTTGTGACCCTGGAGCATTTTTCACAACAGACCACTTCCAAAGAACATCAGTTTAGAGAAAGCTGCTTAGCTTGCTTTCTTTAAAAAAAAAAAAAAAAAAAATATATATATATATATATATATATATATATATATATATATATGTATATAATTGATTTCAGAGAGGAAGAGGAAAAGAGAGAATCATTGATTGGCGGCCTCCTCCTGCATGCCCCCTACTAGGGATCAAGCCCACACACAGGCATGCCCTTGACTGGAATCGAACCTGGGACCCTTCAGCCTGTAGGCCAGCTCTATCTACTGAGCCTAACCAGGGTGCTGCTCAGCTTTCTGTGCTCTCATTTTTTCCCTAGTTCACCACGTTTTGTCTATCCTGCTCAGCCTGCACATTTAAAAATATTAATGTGATGGCTACCTGGACAAGGAGAGAATGAGGTTGGTTTTTATTCCTCGTGTGTTTTTTTTTCCCCCCTTTCAGCTTCTATTGAGATTAACAACAGATAACTTTTTGTAAGTTTAAGTTATACAGTATGATGATTTTTAAGCATATATATATATTTTTTCCATTGATTTCAGATAGGAGGGGAAAGGGGGAGAGAGGTAGAAACATCAATGATGAGAGAGAACCATTGATTGCTGCCTCCTGCACACCCCATGATGGGGATCTAGCCCACAACCCAGGCATATGCCCTGACTGGGATTTGAATTATGACCTCGTAGTTCATAGGTGATCGTTCAACCTCTGAGCCATGCAACCAGGCTATGATGATTTGATATCCCATATAATAAAAGCCTAATATGCTAAGTGTTCAGCCATTTGACCAGTTGTTATGATGACACTGACCACCAGTATGCATATACTTCGACCAGTAGGTTAGCTTGTTGCTGGGATCCAGCCAATCGAGACCAGATGAGATGTGCTGGACAAGCCCTTGAGCTCTCCCACGGTCCCTCCTCACTCTGATGGTGCACTGCACTGGTAGGGTCCCTTGGCCTGGCCTGTGGGGATTGGGCTGAAACCGGCTCTCTGACATCCCCTAAGGGGTCCCGGATTGTGAGAAGGCGCGGGCCAGGCTGAGGGATCCGTGCACTAGGCCTCTAGTATGTATATATTGTGAAATATTTACCACTGTAAGGTTAGTTAACACATCCTCATAGTTTTTCACTTCCATAATAGTTCTCAAATTTTGTGCATCAGAGCTACCTGAAGAACTTATAAAAATTATACAGATTCTCCCATTATGTTGGGTAAAACTCAGGATTTCATACTTTGAATGAGGTATCCCAGGGCACCCACATTCCCTGACCCTGAAGTATGGAGCCAAGTAGATAGTCATGGGAGTATCATGAGCTGTCACAGGTAGCCTGCCCCATTCTTTTTGCATTAGCTCTTGACCTTTTCCTTTCTGTGGATCACTGAAGCAGGGAACAGACTCCCTTGTGCAAGAGCTGCTGTTATCTTCCATGGTTCTGTTATCTCACTGGAAAAATATTGTCACCACCAGTGAAGTGGCAACTGAGTCAAGGTCCACACAGAAGGACTTGAACAAACCAATATTTATTTGTTTTTCTTGTTTTCATATCCTCAGGAATCTCATTGCCTTTCCTTAGGAGGATTGGCTTATAGTTATCTTTTCTTATTGTCATTTCCCTTCTTACCAATGACTGTAGGAACTCCTGGAGAGTGTACCTTTTCTAATGTGAGAATGGGACTCTGAGAACCTTGAGTCAGAGGTGTGCTAAGTATGCTAAGTTCAGAAAACAATGTGAAAACTAGTTCAGACGTTGACTAAGGATTGGTTCCTGAGGAGGATGAGAGAGGATGCTTTGCTACTACTTTAAAGGGCCTGAAGCTCGTGGGACCCTCAGAATTTCATGTTTCCTTGCTGTTTAGGACACAGACTGGGTGGTGGTGAAGGAGCCTGTTATCAAGGTGGCTGCCATTGACAATGGGCTGGCTTTCCCCCTGAAGCATCCTGACTCCTGGAGGGCATGTAAGTCTCAAGAGTACTGTGTGATCTGGCTCATCTTTTGCTAGGTCACAGTTTCTTGCCTGTTCAAGGTAGATAAATACATGTATTGTAGGATTGTTCTAAAAATTAATGAAATAATGCAGCTCATGCACTTTAGTGCAATGGTTGGCACATGGCAATGACTCCATAATGTAAGCTAGTATTACAAATTTTTACCTATATTATTCCCATTAGAAGCATAAAGTTGAGTTTTCTCCTCTCTGTATTTTTCTCATTCTTTCTGAGAACTATCTTTTTAAAAACGTATTCTATTAAAAAAAAAATACACAAAAAAGCAAAAGCATATTCTATTTGTGTGTAAATATAAGCTGTTTTCAGTGCTCTTGTCTTCCTTATTACATTCTGGAAGCCAGCTCTTCCTGCCCTATTATAACTGAGAAACTTTTAGAAAGAGGAAGAGATATAGGTAGGGGTCACTAGCCCCTTTCAGCACTAGTCTTTTCAGAAGGAGTGTCAGAAGGGGTAAGTCATTGATTCTACACAGGCTTGCATCTTGGAAGATCATGCACTAGTAATATCTGGGAAAGAGCACAAGCTCTGGCATTAGGCAGACCTGGGTTTGAATGCTAGTTCTTTCACCTACTATGTAACCTTTAGGGTTCACAGCTCTTATAATTTTTCTATTGTATATCAAGGAAGAGGGTGGAAGACATAGATGGGTAAGGATTTTTTTTTTCAATACCAAATTTGCTTTCTTTTCAGATCCTTTTTACTGGGCCTGGTTGCCCCAAGCAAAAGTTCCATTCTCTCAGGAGATCAAAGATCTGATTCTTCCAAAGATATCGGACCCTAACTTTATCAAGGACTTGGAGGAGGACCTATATGAACTCTTCAAGGTTAGCCCTGGAAATATCAGCCTTTTAACCATATTGAAGAAGACATTCTTAAAGGTTTTTGTAATTGGTCCTATTACAAGTCAAGAGAGCATGGCTAGCCCCCTTCTGGCTTCTGTTAGTCAGTGAAGAGCAAGATTCCCACATGTGGATAGCAGGATCTAGTTTGGATTAGTATGAAAAAATTTGGCAGTTGTGATGAACTGCACCGGTGTGTACCATGTGTGTCCTGTGGCTTCAGTGTATCTGCAGAGCTCTCATTTTCAAATGGAGCACTGGAGTTCTTTAGAGTTAATGAGATGCTGGACAAGATAATTTACTTGTTCTGTTTCCCCAACTGTGAAGCAGGGAGTTCTTGGGGTGGTAGTTAACTTCACTAAACCTCACAAGCCTTATTGTAGGTTTTCTTTACTAGCAAGTTTCTAATTGGGTAGGAAAATGGATTCTTCTGAGTAATTCATTCAGGTTCCATCTCCTTCTGCCCTTCTTTTGCAGAAAGATCCTGGTTTCGACAGGGGCCAGTTCCATAAGCAGATTGCTGTCATGCGGGGACAGGTAAGCCTGGGTCATCTGTTGTCAACCCCATGATCTCTCTGGGAGGGTTATATGCTCATGTTGAATAAATATATAGAGATTGTATTTTATACTTTTTTTCAGTGTGTCATACATATTTGTGACTCTGCATGTACACATGAGAGAAAGGTAGCCCTCCCAGTCTCCCACCTCTTCCAGGGTACCTGGTAGTTAGTGATGAGTTTATTTTGTGTTTACTTCTGTACTACTTGCTGGATAGTTCACTGATAAATTTACCCACTGATCCTTGTCCACCAGTTGCTCAAGGCAAACCATATACCATGCTGATAAAGAGTTAAATCTAGCCGAAACTGGTTTGGCTCAGTGGAGAGAGCGTCAGCCTGTGGACTGAAAGGTCCCAGGTTCAATTCCGGTCAAGGGCATGTACCTTGGTTGCAGGCACATCCCCAGTGGGAGGTGTGCAAGAGGCAGCTGATCGATGATTCTCTCTCATCGATGTTTCTAACTCCCTATCCCTCTCCTTTCCTCTCTGTAAAAAAATCAGTAAAATATATTAAAAAAAAGAGGTAAGTCTAGAGTTAGTCTGTTTTACCGCTTACATGCTCCATGGCTTTTGACAAGAGCCTCTACTTCCTTATTTATAAAATGAACAGGATAATACTTTGCAGAGTTGGCTAGGGGATTACACGAGATAATGCATACTAAATATTTAGTAAAAACAATGCCTGACACATGGTAAGCACTCAGATGTAGGCTTTGGTTATAATTTCTGTTATATCATTATTTCTTTTCTTCCCACTTCACCTTCAGAGAGAGCTAAGGAATCCCCCAGGGCATTATTTTTTTAGTAGATTTTTATTGATTTCAGAGAGGAAGGGAGAGGAGAGATATAAACATCAGTGATGAGAAAGAATCATAGATCGGCTGCCTCCTACACACCCCACACTGGGCACTGAGCCTGCAACCCAGGCATATGCCCTAACCAAGAATCGAACTGTGACCTGGTTCATAGGTCGACACTCAACCACTGAGCCATGCTGGCCGGGAAGTTGTTTATTATCCCTTAAATTATTAACTGATCCCATAGTCTTGAACATTTATATAATTTTCACTTATACACAATACTGCACTGTATTGGTTTAAACTGTTTTGTGCATGTCCACAGTTGTTTTCTGAGTCCTAAAAATGGAAGTGCTGAGTCAGAGGTCTGTTTACATTTAAACTTCTGTTGTCCACTGTCCTTTTTGAAAGACTGTCCCATCTTCCAGCCCTACAGCTTCTCTGAACCCTCCCCAACTCTGAGTCACCTCCTTCTTCTGTATCTTTTTTAACTGGAAGGGCAAAATATAGGTGATATTTTTTGTAATTTTCATTTTTAAAATGACTGGAGAACTTTCCATTTTCTATATATTGCCTACTTATAGTCCTACTCTTTTTTTGGGGAGGAGGCTCATCTGAGATAGTCCTACTCTTATAAGTAGATTATTTGTACAGTTTTTCATTAGCATGTTGTTTATTTTTTTTTAATTGATTTATAAGAGTATTCTGTCTGCCAGTCTCCCTTTAAAGGCAGACATGGATGCCTATGCCTTTTCTTAATTTATCTCATTTTTCCCACTGCAGATCCTAAATCTGACTCAGGCCTTGAAAGACAACAAGAGTCCCCTGCACTTGGTCCAGATGCCACCTGTGATTGTTGAGACAGCTCGTTCCCACCAGCGGTCTTCTTGCGAGTCCTATACACAGAGCTTTCAGAGTCGGAAGCCCTTCTTTTCGTGGTGGTAGCCCAAGGGGCTAGGAGGAAACTTGGGGAGCGGGTTGCAGGAAAAGCCGGTAGAAAGCAGTGCCTGAGAGAGCCCTTCCTCTATGCTCACTATCCCCCTCAGTGCTTTCCCAAGCTTAGGGAGAAGCACAAACAGAGCGACAGCGAGTGCTGGTGGGCTCCCCTGAGTGTTGAGGAAGGCTGGAGCTCCATGGAAGGAGTCCAGATGCCTAGGAAGGAGCATCTGCCTTCCAGCCTCTCCTGAGGGCAGGCTGGGAAATTCCCTTTCCTGGTGACATCTGGGCTCTGTTCAATTCCTCATTATATTCTGCATCAGAAACAAACAAATAACAAAAATTTAAATTATTAGCAAAACGCAGGCAGAATCCCAATTCTTTCAGAAACCTCAAATCCAGACCTAGATTTGCATGGACCCAGACATTCAGGTGCCTCACTCTCATGGACCAAGGCAGCTGGGTTACCCACAGTCCTGGCGCAGACAGAAGCCCACTTTTCTTTTGAGATTTTGCCAAGTCTTCTCTTTCTCCTCCCACCAGTGCAGTAGGCTGACTAAAAGCCTCCAAATGGAATTTTCATGGCGGAGGTACTTTTGCTCTAGACCTCCTAGCAGCTCTGTATATGATCCTATAGATCAACTCTGCTCTCTGCTCTGCTAGGGATCCAACCTCTCAAGTGCAGGCCTGTCACTCAGATAAAGGCAGGAGGGAGGACATGGACACCCTAGCATGTACAAGTGATCCAGGTAGCCTGAGTGTATGCTGGGAGCTGTAATTGGTCTCTGGGCAAACTTATCCCCGTCTTGCTTCCTGAGTCCTTGGCCTTAGCCATGGGTGATAAACTCCCAGTCCTCTCCTTTGTTCACATCATTTTAGATGTTTCTTTTCTCAACTCTGAGGGTTCAGTTTGGATTCTGGAGTGGGTCTCAGCTCATAAGAGAACAGGATAGTAGGTCTTTGGACTTCTCTTCATGCTACTACTGCTGCTTGTGTTCTGCCTCCTAATTGGTAGCTGCGCTTTGCTCCCTGACTTCTTGTTCCAGGCCAGTTTTTCCATGGCTTCTTGAGAAAAGCGGGGCACAAAGGAGAGAGGCCTTCAAACTGTTCCCCAGTGCCTGTCCAGCTCAGTGCGCTTCCTGCTTCCATGTCTCTCCCCTCAGCTATCCCCTTGCCAGGTGTCCAAGCCCTTTCTACACCAAAGCAAACTGGGCCCCCTCACCCCCCAAGGGAGAAAAGAGGGTGCCATCTGTAGCTCAGGAGCAACCCTGTGCTACTGGACTCCCAAGTTTCTGGAACCCTGCGATTGGTCAATCAGCTGTGAAAAAAACTATCTTGAAGGTTTGAAAAACAACCAAAGAAAGGGAGCAAGGACTCTGTCTTGTGCCCTTTGCTTGCCCAGCTCCTGCTATCCAGGAGACAGAGTAGAGCTCTCTCATAAGCTGGGCCAGGCTGCCCCCATCCCAGCCCCTGGAGCCGCTTATCTTGGGCTTCCATCCAGCTGACGGGAAAAGTCTCTGGGAGTTGGATGTGCATGCCCTGTGGACAAAGGCACAGCTCCCCTGACAATCCCCGTCAGCCAACTTGGACAACTAGCCTTGGGGACCATGTTTTTGAGGATGCCTGCCCTCAGACTGCAGGAGCAGTAGGGCTCCCAGAAGCCGGAAGGGGGCCCAGGTGTATTTAGCTTTCCACAGACATCTTTGTATAAAAATGTGGTAAAGGTGGGCATCAAGAGAGCCTGAGGAGTCTAATGAGGAATCTACTTGCACCCCCAACCAAGCAGATCGGCACATTGCCCTCATCCAGACCAGCTTTCTGGGAAGGAAACTGGGTCCAATGTAAGAGGGGGCTGGTTCCAGTCCTGGCAGTTGAGAGTGGGAGGGGCATCCTTTCCTGGTCTCTCTGTTCTCTTTGAAACCTGTACTCAGGTTGTCTTGAATGTGGACTTTGGGAGAGCCGGGGGCCCAGAGTCCCAGGACAGACTTTTGGATGGCACTCATGGAATGGCCCAGCCCTCTGGCAGCCATAGGCCCTGTTCCTCAGTGTCAGGGAGTAGAGGCTGGGCTGTGAGTCCTACTGCCTCTTACTGTTCTTCTAATGCACTGTAGAAATTGTATGTAATGTATTTAAATCAATGCAAATGTATGAATAACAAGTCCAATTCTGACCTTTTTTGTCTAGTTTTCTTTGGTGGAAGGAAGACAATATAGATTGCAATTTTAAGGACAGAGAACCCTGAGTTTCCGTGGGTTGCTAAGTCATGACTCCTGAGTCTATTTCCCTCCAGTGGGGGAAATCCAGACCCTCATTTCCAATCTCAGTGTTCTGAAAACCAAAATTTTATCATAACTTAAATTTGACACCAAAACTGACCTGAATCTACATGGAAGCTATTTGTAACCATGATGAATCCCTAAGTGTGAATATTTGTTGCAGAAATATGTTTTGTTATGAGATACTCCCCTATAAGGGATGACACAGTATTTGCAGTGACTACTTCTGCAAACTAAAAAAATTCCCAAGTCATCTAGTCACAAAGGTTTGGAAGGAATATGGACCGGTTTCTCCTCTTGGTCATGAGAGGAGCTCTGCTCTGCATATGCTTAGAGCACTTTGAGCACTAGCTTCGTTAACGTGATAGATAATCTAGCAGAGAGGATGGGTGGGCGGGAGCTGAATGGGAATGGCGTGGCATGCTTCTTTTGAGGATCACCTCAAGGGTTTTCAGGCTATGGGAACCTTTGAAATGGAGGAGCTCAAGAATGCTTCAGCTATTGACCCATCTCAGGATGGTTGGCCCATGGGGATGAAGAAGCCAGCTGAGGAACTGGCACCCATTACTGTGACTGCAGGCTCGCTGCCCGCCCTGTACAGCTTGACTGTAATAGCCAAAATCCCTGTCCCCTCCTGTGGCTCAGGACTGCTGCAGAGATGCTTCCATCTCCGCATCTGACAGCCTCTGGAAAAGGAAGCTTCGGCACGGGCTCTACAGGATGGTGGTGAGAAAGCAAAGTCAGCCCTATTTTCTTCTTCCTGGGAACACCAGCCTTCCTCGCAATGAGCCCAGCCCTCACCCCCCGGCTCCGGAGTATCAAGACTCACACAATTCTTGGTGCAAATGTTTTTATTTTGCCACTTAAACCACAGTTTACTTGTGTGCCCTGACAGGGACAGAGGTGTAGGACAGGCTGCTGGACCATGGGTCATGATACAGGAGGGTGAGTAGCAGGAGTGGTGAGATGCTTGGTCTGCGTGCCTGTCACTTAACTCCCAGGGGAATGTCATGCAGCCCAAGTATAGTGGGGAAGGGCCAAGGCAAGAACGGTCACTGTTGCTGCTCCTGATGAGGAATGGTCCCACACAGTTAGCGCTCAGTGGGTGTCTCCAGTCCTCTTCTGAACTGAGCAGGCCAGCAGCAGCATGTGGGGCTGTCTGCCTCAAGTCTTCCTCCTTCACCTTCCCAGGCCCTGTGGCCAAAGTCCCTATGATTCCTGGGGAAGATCGTGCCATTCCCAGCCCCTTCCCTGGATCAGTGTCTGATCTGATGGAGGTAGCTTGTGGGGCCCGACTTCCTCCAATTCCGACGGATCCTGGCACTTGTCCTCCTAGTGTTCAGATACTGGTCACTAGAAGCCATCTCCGTGGCGCTGCTCTGTGGGTCAGCCAGTGGATCGCGGGGCTCTGGGATTCTGTAGGGAACAAGTGTGGGATAGGCCAACATCAATAGGAAGGGCAGAATGAGGACTAAAGAGATTTTGGTCATGTGAACTATTAAAACACTGGGACAAAATGAGACCAGGGCTCTGAGAGCTACATGACGAGGCAAAACTTTCAGCTTTCTATAAAGAGAGTAGGACTAGATCAGGGTGTGCAGCATTCAACGTTTCTCACTTCTTATCCTGGCAGACATGGTTAATCAGTCATATGAGACCGGAGGAACCAAGTATCCTTACTAAGGTGTATTAAGTAGCGATTACTAATCAATAGGAGTTGATATGGACCTGATGATCTCAGAAGGCCTGTTCAGTTCTAATGTTCTGACTGTGGGCTCCACAGAAGGCGGTGGAGGAATGGAGCCCAGAGTGTGCCCACAGCAGTTGGTTAGGCCATGTGGTTCAGCTGGATCTTGTGGGAGTGGGTGGGTAGAGGGGGTAGGAAGGGGAGGATCCCTGTTCCTGGGCTGGCAGTGATCTAAACAGATAGTTGGATAACTAGGGAAAGTTTGGGATAAAGTTTCTAAACAACTGTTAACCTTTGTTGCCTCTAGAGTACTTTCCTATGCTATATTCTCTGTAATTCCAGAGCCAAGATATTCATCAGGCTGACTTCTGAATGTTACCTGTTCTTTAATAGATAAATAGTATTTTCCCCCTTCCAAACACTAGTCCCTCCTAAATGGTTAAGAATCACTGTGAAATAAGGTGGCACTGAAAGGATCCTGGCACCCCTTCCGGTGGGAGTTAACACGTTCATGTATGACTCCAAAACTAGTAGCAACCTTTTAAGTGCTAACCATGTGGTAGGTAGGCACTGTGTAGATCTTAGCACAACCCCAATGGTAGGCACTTTGCAGTGAGGCTGGGTCAGTAGCCCCGGGCCCCACAGCCAGGAAATGGTGAATGGGCATCCTTAGTGCCCTCCCTCCCTCAGCCCTCCACTCCCGGAACCTACCTGAGCCGGCTGCAGTGATGTAGCGAGTGGCCCAGGGACTTCTGCCTCGGGGGCCTCTTTCTGCGCAGCCTCCTCAAGGCCTCCGCCACGCGGTGGTCCCCGGCACACTCCCAGATGATCTGTGCCCGCTCCTCCGCCAGCTGGTCCCCGCTGCGCTGGAACAGACTCTGGATCTGCAGCAGATCTGCGTCCTGGAAGATGTTGGCCGAGGCCTGCTTGCGGCCCCGGGCCTCGGTGGGGGCCTGCCAAGGGAGCGGCTCACTCACCACAGAGGCTGGGGTGCCCATCCTGGGTGCTCTGAGGAAGGAAAGCATGTAGATCAGCAGATCAGCAGGCCCTTCCCAAACCTGGGGCTCCTAACTCATGCAAGAACTTCCGGTGTTTCTATTCTTCAGGAGCCAAGCTAAGGTAAGTCTTACACTGATTTCCCAGGGCAAATGATGTTAATGATGACAGCTAAACTTTATTATAAAGTGCTAGGTGTCTGATGTGGAAATTTAAGAGTCACAGACACCTCTGAGGTAAGAGTTGTTTATCCCCATCGTACAGATGGAGTGTGACTCAGAGATTAAATGACTTCTCCACCACAGTCACAACGCCCCATGTAGGTGCAGAGCCAGGAGAACCAGGTCCGTCTGGCTCTAAAGCCCAGGCAGGCCCCAGGATACCCAGGTCTTAATAACACCAGCAGCAGCAGTTGAAGTGTGGTGTGTCAGTGTGTTACACACCACTGTAAGAGCCATATTCACCTGGCATTGTTGAAATGTGAACACAGCAGCCCTATGAGGTAGGAACTTTCACCCTCCTCACTTCCCAGACGAGGAAACTGAGAAAGAGAATGCGGATTTCTGATGGGGAGGCCCAGGCTCTACAGTACAGAAATAGAGGGGCTGTGGAGCTGGGTTGGAATCTCACTTCTGGCTGCGTCCACCACTTAGTACTGGCTCTGACCTCCACTGGCAGCTCCTTCCTGTGTAATTGTATCAGCTGTACTAACTAGTACCTACTTCTTAGGTTGCTGTAGGACTGAATGAAGCACACAAAGCATTAAGAACATTGCTCAATGTTCTATTCTGCTTTTCCATCCATAAAATTGGCAAGAGTTACCCCACCTTTCTTCCAGACTCTCTGGATGAACCAAGTCCATACAGGATGAGGCAAAGGCAGGCTTACAGCTGTTTATATGGGAACTAATACAATAATTAATGAATATAAGGAAAAACTCTGTTTCTCATGTTCACAACTGTAAACCTACTTTTGCCCCACCCTGTATAATTTAGCAAGCAGCATGAAATAGACCAATCAGATCTACTGTCCAAAGGACCACTGAGAGGGGCAGGAGAAGCAGCTACAGGTTTAGAATATTCTGTCAGGGCAGAGGCTGAAACTTACAAGGAAACTGATAAAAGTTACACTCATGTCAGTGTCCTTGTATCATATCCAGGAAATGAAAATTAAATCATATTCCTCAGTTCTAGATAGTTCACAATGAATAAATAATAAAGGCATACGAAGCTCACCCACCTTATCCTTGTTTCTGGTACGACCTGAAAAAGCCATGGTATTGGAAAACAAGGAGACAAGGAAGACTAAGGACTTTGGCATTATGCAGAACGGGGTTTGAATCCCAGCTTTGCCACTTGCCTAGCTGAGACCTTAGGCAAGTTAATCAACCTCTCTGAGCCTGTTTGCTTAACTGTCAAATGGAGCCAAAACCACTTCTCGGGACTGGTGTAAAGGAGTCTAGTATGGTACCAGGTGCCCAACAAGAGCAAAATAAAGGCAAATGCCCTCTTTTTTTGGTTTCCTTGACTTTTGTGTTGGGTCAGAAGAGTGACGTGGTAAGAGTTCTTTCCTCCAAGTAGTCTAGCCTGCCTTGTTCCCTCTGCCCCTCAGCCCTGGGCCTAATGGGGAAGGCCTGGTTACTAAGTCAGACCTCATTCCACAGCTAGCTACAGAGACAGCTGTCAACCAGTAACCAGCTTGAAAAGGAGAGAGGTAAAATGTATATGCTCACTGTGAAAAAATAAAAAATAAACAATAGAATCATAAATAAAAGCACTACTGGTTTCCTATCCTCAGCTCACAAATAATCCTACTTGCAGAAATAATCCTTCCTCTCACCTGCCTTCTGTTCTCTAGAGAATTTGAGCCATCTCTTCATCCCATTCAGACTTCCCAGATAATGACTGTCCCTTCCTTTCCCTGGCCTTCCCTCTTCCTCACCTCAATGGCCACCTCCTGATTCCAGTAATTTCTACACCCCACTGTCCTAGTTTCTAGGCCTTCTATCATAAGAACTTATTCTTTTAAAAAAATATATATATATATATATATTATTAATTTCAGAGAGGAGTGGGGGAGAGAGAGATAGAAACATCATCAGCTGCCTCCTGCACACCCCACACTGGGAGGGTCAAGCCAGAGCATGTGCCCTGACAAGGAATCAGACCACGACTACCTGATCCATAGGTCAACACTCAACCACTGCACCCACACCAGCTGTCCCCACTCTTTTTCAAAAGATCTAATAATGAAAATAAACCTACAAAAGATTTCCAAGTAAATTCATAAAAGTTATACTTGTTATCTGGAAAATAATCTTAAAACCTGCCTCTCCTTAGGCACTATTATGGGAATCCAGTAAATATATGTGATAATTATACTCCCAGCGATAGATGATATAAATATACTGTGATCAGGAAATAGTCACCAGGTAACACAAGCTGGTAAAGAGAAGTCAAAGCTAACTATGGAACATTTATTCTGTATCAAACAATATGCATAATATGATTTCATCCTTAAAACAATTCGAGGGGCCAGGCACTGTTAGCCTCACCCGTTCACAGAGAAGCAAAGGAAGCTGAGATCAGATATAAAGCAGGGACTCAGCCAAGGTCAGAACCTAGTCTACTGCAGCCCAAGCTTTTAAGCAACGGAGGTGTTTTCACAGCCAAGCTGCTCAAAGCACATTTCTTCCCATTAGTCTGTGAGAAGTGCTAAGTCACAAAGGGGAAACCCCACCAGTAGCAGGGAAAGAACACTGAATATCCCACGTTGGAGGCAAGGGTGGGGTGTGGAGTTTATTTTAATCTTTTTCAATAACATCAGGGCCGTTCCCTGGGTGACGGGCTGCCTCAGCTTTGAACTCGTGACATTCTGAAGAGGAAGATCCCAGCTTCCACAGAAGGAATCAGGAACTATAACCCAACCCGGGGCACAGAGCTCTGTCTTATGAGTTAGAGGACTGGTTTGAGCCCCAGTTCTGCCACTCAGCGGCTGAGAGGCCTCAGGATTCTGTGGGCCTGTCTCCCTCTTTCATCTGTGAGAAGAACAGGTTGATGCTCATGGTCTCTGAAGGCCTGTACCAGTACTGAAAGTCAGTGATTCCATGACAAGGCTAGGTCTGAATGAAGAGCCTACGAGCAACGTGTGTGGACAGGTCTGGCTCATTAGGTATCAGAAGACTCCCCAGCTGAAACCGGTTTGGCTCAGGGAGAGAGCCTCGACCTGCAGACTGTAAGGTCCCAGGTTCGATTCCTGCCAAGGGCTACCTTGGTTGCAGGCATATCCCCAGTAGGAGATGTGCAAGAGTCAGCTGATCGATGATCCTCTCTCGTTAATGTTTCTATCTCCCTTCCTCTCTGTAAAAACTCAATAAAATATATATTTAAAAAAAGAAAAGAAGAAAAAAAAAAAGACTCCCCAACAGTAGCTCCCCTTCTCAATCTTCCTGGAGGTCAGACACTCTTTTGGTGCTGTGGCTGTGGGGTTAGGGTCTGATAAAAGACAGAGAATCACTGCTATAAAGCAGTCTAATGACCTAGGCTGGCTATAGCCAAGCCTGGGGCAGACTCCTGGGGCATGTCCCCCCTCTCAAATGCAGTCAATCTCACTCTCTTAAGAGACTGGCAACAGGATCAAATAGCAGCAGCTGCCTCAGGGAGGAAATGGCTTGGAGCCTGATTTCCCAGATAGTCCCAGCCACCGCTGCCAGGGCCGCAAGGGCCTACAAGGCCCTGCCCTCAGCTGCCCAGTTACAGTGAGTTACAACTGCACCAATGAGAAGCCATCTGGGAGAGCCTGAGCCTCTAGCCTCACCGTACCTTCCATGATCCTGTGAAGCAGGGGGAGGGAGAACCTCCAGATTTTGAGGACCCTCACTCTTGGCTCTGCCTCTCACCCTGAGATTCAGGCAGCAGAGTGAGGTTGAGAATAAAAAATTGGTGGGTATCAGGTGGGATTAGATTGTAAACTTGGGGAAAACTGAATCACAGCACTTTTGTTATCAGAAGAAACTTTTCCTGTCTCATTCAATGTGTCCAATAGTTACTTCCCCCTCATTTCCTGGACAAGACCTGCATCTGGGAAAGTCAGTATATACTTAACAATGGTACTTTTTAAACTGGGAAATGAAACCACAGGGCTATAATAAGATTATAAGTGAATCTTTCAGAGCTGACATGAAGATAAGCATGGATCTGTGAGCAAATGAGTGAAAACTAATTGCAAAATACTTCAATTTGATACAAACTAGGTTAAAAATGAACCCCCAAGTAAATACCAAATGTTGAGCATGACAAAGTTCAATCCGTTTTTTAAACAGGCAATAAAGGAACTATAGAGCTCTAACAAAGAAATATATTTAAAAAGTGAATCACCATGTAATGATTTGCAATTTATAAATATTGCAGTCTTTTTGCAATGCATCAAGCTCCGTTTAGACACCTATCTATGCTCATCCTGGTCTCGGGGCCGTGGAAAATAACCATGAGAGGCAGCACACAGTTGTGTGAACTAGGCAGCAACTGGCTTCCCACCTGGCTTCCCCCTCCAGATAGCCCTGTTGGTGGTGGTAATCTGCAAGCGGAGGCCAAGGGTCTCTTAGAGAAAGAACTGGAGGCTCTGGCCCAAGGCCCAAGTCAACACTGTGGCCCTGGCCTACTTCCTTGGACAGACATGCCACTGGACAGCAGCCAAAATCTGTGGCTCCTCAAGTGAGAGGCCCAGTCCAAACGGCTGTGCGGGCCCCCCACACGGAAGGGCCCAGCCTCAGGGAGGCATGCCTGAGAGAAATGGACATACGTTGGCCTCCAAATCTCTGTCCCAAAAGGCTTGAGAAAGGAACTGGACCCTTCCCCCAGACCAAGTCTCAGATACGGCCTGGAAAAAGACTCCTATAGATCTAGGAATAACTTTTCAAGAGTTCAAGAACCTTGAATTCTGGCTGTGCCACTGATAACTGGGTGGCCTTGGCAAGCTTCAGTTTTCTCCCTGCTTCAGTTTGTTCATTGTCAAAACGGTGAGAATAAATAACTCTTACTGGGATAAGGGACATAAAGTATGCTGAAAGTATCCATCCCAGCACATTATGAATGAATGGTATAAAGGAAAAGGCTTTTTAACCACCCATTTTTCGTCACCACCATTATCATGAGACTCCATCAAAAGGGGCCTTTCACTTTTGGGAGGAGGGGGTGAAGGGAGATTTTACATCATCGCTGCCGTTGAGGCGCCTCGCTCCAAGACAAGTCCAAACCAGCACTTTCAGAAGGGTTATCTCTCTAATCCTCATGACACCCTTTCTGAGGTGGCACTATGGTTATACTCGTTTTACAGATGAGAAAGCTAAGCTCAGGAAAGTTAAGTCATAGGTAGGATGTGCTAAGGCCAGGATACGAACCCAAGAGGTCTGACCCCAGCACTCGCTCCCCTTTAGTTATTTCTGTTCCCACCAGCGGGTGCCAAGGTCTTCAAAGACCCAGGAGGCTCTGAACCTTCTCGGAGTCTGCTGTCTGCTTCTACCGGTTTTGGAAGGCGGAGGGATCGAAAGTCAGGTCTCCCCAGCCAGCCTCGGTGCCATCCGCACCCCATGGCCCCGTGGGGGAATGAGAGCGATTACTCACCCAGCTGAATGCAGGGCGGCGCCGACAGACCTCACATCGGGATGGGACCAGCTGAGATGCGCCGACCCCAACCCCAACCCCTGCCGCCTTTCAACGGGGGGGGCGCAGCTCCGGGCTTCTGCCACCGAGGTGCTCGCTAGGGCCAGGAGGCACCACCCACAGGGCAAGAGCGTGAGAGGGGGGATCCCGGCCGGTATCGCCCGGCGACCACCCCAGCACAGGTCGGTCCCCGCGACTTAGA